AGTCAAGGCGGGATGTGACCAGAGCGTGTACCACCGTGGCCAAGTCAGACTTCCCAAGGTACGGGCGCAGCTGGCGCACGAGCCTAAGCTGTGCAAATGCTCCCCTGGTCACCCCTGAAACTTGGAGATCCAGGCTCAAAGATGAATCCAGAGTCACACCCAAGCTGCGAACCTGCGCCTTCAAGGGGAGTGCGACCCCGTCCAGCACAGGCTGTAACCCTATGCCCTGTTCGGCCTTGCGACTGACCAGGAGTACCTCTGTCTTGTCTGGATTTAATTTCAGATTTAATCATCCCCAACCCACCAGTATTCAAATTTGGGCGTAGCAGGTATTTGTGCCAAATTTGGTCCAGTGAATGAAAATACATCCTGCATATCAGATATTTACATTACGATTCATAACAGTAGCAAAATTGCAGTTAGGAAGTAGCAACGAAACAACAACAACAACAACTTCCTCTCCAGAGTTCTTATTCTTTTTTCACCACACCAGGACCGAACCTGCTGACATTCACCTCAATATTTCCAAAACCAGACTGATGAAAACAGCCAAAACAACCCATTCCTGCTCTCCCCGCCTTCCCTTCCCTATCTGTGTGCAGCCTCTAATCCCATCCCAAGGGCAATGCAATGGGATAGCTCCATAATCCACTTTCACCGAGATCGCCTTACATGAAAGGGGGAGCGGGTGTTGTGATGTGCCCATCTGTCAAGGCTGGGAATTATCCCCTCCGATCACATCAGGGTCACTTCTGCCCCTTTTCCCTGGCTTGGCGGCCTTCTGCCAGGCTCCCAAAAGTTGGAAGCAAAGAGGACCAGAGGCAAGTCCAGGAGATGGAGGTTTTGGGGCAAAGTGGTCAAGACTAGGTTTCCCAAGCCAACTCAAACAAACCCCGAAGGCCACCACGTTTGGAGAGTTTGGAGACAAAGCCAGGGAGAGCTATTTATTTATTTATTTCGAGGTTTTATATACCGACCCTCTCACCTTCAAAGAGGGATTCGGACCGGTTCATCTGGCCTCCTTCAGAAGCCAGGATGGGCAGGGGTCTAGGATGGACGTGGTGGGCCTCATTCCTCCAAGTATCTTGTCCACATCCTCGGGCTTCACAAGCTGAAAAGAATCCATCAAAATAGGACAAGCAGGTGCTTGTGTCACATCCACAGAGACTGCATTTAATGTGGCGTCCAGCCCAGAACGGATCAAAGCGACTTTGTCTGCAAAGAACCGAGCAAATGCTTCACAGCGTGACGAATTGTCAGGGCTCCCGCCTGAGGTGGCGGGAGTTAAAAGACCTCTGACAATCCGAAACAACTCCGCCGGACGGTTTTTGCAGACGCAATAGTGGCCGCAAAGAAAGTTTTCTTTGCGGCTTTTATTGCCGCGGCATATGCCCTTAGAAAGGACACAAACCGTGCTCGATTTGACTCGCTTGGGTCCGAACGCCACACGCTCTCTAGTTCCCTCTTCCTTCGCTTCATCACTGCCAGCTCCTCAGTAAACCAAGGCTGGTTTAGCTCGGCTACTTGAGAGGGGACGTTCCGGAGCGATCATGTCAATTGCCCTGGCCATCTCCCCATTCCAGAGAGCGACCAAGGCCTCGACATGGTCACCTACCGAGGAGGCGGGAAAATCCCCAAGAGCCGTCAGGAATCCATTCGGATCCATAAGCCTCCTGGGGCGGACCATCTTAATGGGTCCTCCACCTTTGCGGAGGTTAGGGGGTGCAGTGAGCCTAAATCTGATCAGGAAGTGGTCAGTCCATGGCAACGGAGAGATAGACAACTCCTCCACACCGCCACCCTGCTCCCATCCCTGGCAGAAAACCAAGTCCAATGTGTGTCCAGCACAGTGGGTGGGGCCAGATATTTGTTGGGACAGCCCCATGGTTGCCATGGCAGACATGAAGTCCTGAGCCGCTCCTGTGAGGGTCACCTCGGCATGGATATTGAAGTCTCCCAGCACAAGAAGCCGTTGAGACTCCAACGCCAGGCTCGAGACTACCCCCGCTAGCTCAGGTAGGGAGACTGTAGTGCAGCGAGGTGGACGGTACACTAGCAGAATCCCTATTCTGTCCCGGTCACCCACCCTTAGGTGGACACATTCAAAATTTGTGGTCTGCGGGATGGGGCTCCTGGTCAGATGGATGGAATCTCTATAGACCACTGCAACCCCGCCTCCCCGTCCTCCGGATCTCGGTTGGTGCTGTACGGAGAAGCCTGGAGGACAAAGCTGGGTGAGATTCACACCCCCAGCTTCATCCAGCCAGGTCTCCGTAATGCACGCCAGATCTGCCCGCTCATCCAGGATTAAATCCTGGATAAAGGTCGTTTTTCCGTTGACAGATCTGGCGTTCAGCAGCACCACCTTCAATCCGGAGGGCCCGCTCACCTGGTTACACCAATTTACCTTAGGAGACCGATTTGGGGTTATTAATGTTGATAAGCGGTCCGAATTAGGCCGAATTCGAGGTCTTAACAAAGAAGGCAAATGCCATTTTGGCCTGTGGTAATGGAAGCATATTTTCTAACTCGAGAAAAGTAATAGTCTCTCTATATTCTATGTGGGTCGGATTATCTTCTGGACTACAGCATCTGGGCATCACATTTTAAGGGTATGGACAGGTAGAGGAGCTGCAAAGAAGGGCAATAAGGATGATAAGCAAAAAGATTGAAGGAAGTGGGCTTGTTCAAGCTTGGTGAAGAGAAGACTGAGGGCTGACAGGACTGCACTCTTTAAATACCTTAAGGGCGGTCACAAAGAGAAGGCTTGAGTGAACATTACAAGGATGTCCTTGACAGTAAGAGTGGTCCGGCAATGGAACCAATTGCCCAGAGATGTGCTGCAGTCTCCCTCTTTGGACATCTTCAAGAAGAGGCTGGATAGCTACTGGAGATCCTATATTGAGAGGGAGTTGACCCATATATTGGGGATAATGGATCATGACCTGTTAGGATCACCAATCATCGGGATACGGATCATGAACTGTTAGGATCACAACCTAATCAGAATAGCAGCGTTTATTTGGTAATGAATGATTGCTGGGCTTGCAGATATTTTGTTTCTGTTTGATGCTTTCAGCAAACAAATATGCAATCAGGCTTCTTTAAAAGATAACAAGTTTTGTTTACTGATAACTTCATATATTTAAAGATACAGGCACATTTCTTGTCAAGGGTTAAAAATTCCAGTAACGTTTTAGAGAGTTTGTATCTTGAATTTATAATCTTTAACAGTTTCTTCATAAATGATGATGCACTATACAGCTCTCTTTAGTAAGAGTTTACTTTTAAATAAAACACAAGCCTCAACATGTGCTTTTGCACCCTGACAGACTTCTATACTCAAGCTCATTCAAGACACAACACACTTCTCTAACAGTCATTCCTCAACCGACATTCCATAACTGTCATCCTGTTTAAACCTGAACATTCTAAACTGTCACTGAGTCAGTCACGTGACCTGCAGCCCCTCCCACTGCTGTAGGTACATAGAAAAAAGGGAAACTGCAAATCAAAGAAGACATATACTTCAGGTTATAAAACGACACATTATAAAACACACAAATATCAGATAGAGGAGGCTTGAGAAGGTTGTTTCCTCCAATACCATAAGCACCCATCTAACTTTATGATTGTGTGAAGATGATTATATCAAAACATCGTTACAAGGACAGAGAATTTCTCCTAGTAGTAAAATTCTCACCCAACAGTCTGGAAAAAAGCGAAGCATTTGTCTAATGTAGCATTTTCCCCATACTGTCACTGGTGGGAAAGCCAATGAAAGACTTCCAGCTCCCCTCTTTTTATATCAGAAATTAGCTGTTTTCCCATTGCAAAATTCTTGTTGTTTTATAATTAAGAACCAAGAGGAAAAGATAACAAATGGCAATAACATTATAAAAATGCTGCAAATAGTTTAATGACCATCTCTGGAATTAAAAACAGAGATAGCTAAAACTGAGCCAAAACACATAGACAGACTGGTAAACAGTTCCAATAATTCTGAAGCCATCGAAGGGAAATTCCTAGAAAAATACTGAAATTTTGAGGCAGGAAATGGGAAAATGCAACATTAGAACCCTTTAGAGACTGAAATTTCACTTCATTATTTTAAGAACAGAAAATGTACGATATTGGGTATAATACAGTTTGTGATAACATGATATTTTTTATTATAACAATTTAGTTTGTTTAGAAAAGAATTACAAATTGACTTTATTCTTTAAACTTTTATTTGTTATCAGTGGAAACACACAGTCATTAACTGTAAAGAATACTTAAACTGTAAATGACATTTTGAGGTTTGCTCATTCATTAAGAGCAGGGGTAAAAAGAACAGAAAAAGAAACAACCTATATTAGCAAAAACAAAAAACCTTTTGTTTCTCTAGTTTTGCCCAACTTCAAGATCTTGGATTTCCTTTCCTCTGTTTTTATGCCCTATCTATCCTTTTATTTATAGTCATGTTCATGATCAATGAATGTTGATGTTTCTGGCAGAATCCGACTTGGGTTTAAATCCAAACTTTAAAGGGGATATTTAGGATGCTGCATCATATCAACAAAATAGGATTCATTTTTGGATAGTTCCTTTAAAGTCTGGACTAAAAATGCAGTAAACCCACTGACATTAAAACCGCCAACTTCCACTGACATATATGTAATAAGCACTCCAAAAACAACTTTAGAAAATTCAACATAACACAGTTGTGTAAGTAATACAGTGATATATTAATACTAATGATGTTTACTATTTTTTAATATATGTACATTTGTATATTTCAAATTGTATTGTAATGCTTTTAATGCTAGCTGCTTTGAATCTCCTTAATGAGAGAAAAAGTGGGATATAAATACTTGTAAACATAATAATAATAATAATAATAATAATAATAACAAATCCTAAAATTCAGCATCACTTGCAGCAAAAGTAATACAAGTGACTTTCACATGAGTTAACTTTACAACAAGAAATATATATATAAATGAGAAAAAACTTACTTTAACTTCAACCATCTTTCCACCATGTTCAATGTGCCTCTCAAGATATTCCGAAGACAGGAGATCACTGCAACAGCAGAAAAGTTGGAACAATGTAATAATTTTCCACATTATATAACATTCACTAAATAATAAGTACTGGTGTTTACAAAACACAAAATCCAGAGGGATCCATTTCTTCAAACATTAACATACATGTGCTGAAATGCACACTAACAGAAGGACAAGACCCTGGCACATACCCAGGTATTAACTCTGTCCCCAGATTTGTCTTGGAAGCAATATTACACGGGTCAATAACATCACCCACAACATTTACAAAGAAAGACTAGAAAAAGAAACAGTTGAATTGCATTATATTCACAAATTCCAATCCATTAGCAGAGAGTGAACGAAGACAATGGTTTCATGGCACGGCAGGCATGTAGCTGGGGGGGGGGGGCTCGGGGGGCTTCAGCCCCCCCCCCCCAATTCTCATGGTGGTTCGTGAAAAGGCCTTACTGGTGCATTATTTAAACTGTTATGTTTATTCATATCATGATCTGATCACCATACTCAATATATCCCATATGCATGGGGGTATTGGGGTAATGATACAAAAGGTTTGCTAGGCTAGACCCTCTTTCACTCAGACTCAGCCCCCCCCCCCCCCCACTCAGCCCCCCCGAACCCCCCCCCCCAAAAAAATCAGCCCCCCCCCCCCAAACGAAATCCTGGCTACGGGCCTGTGGCACGGATATATTCATACAAGAGGCCTGGCTACTGCACATAAAGGAATGTTCTCAAAGTTTTGTTCCCAGGGAAACTGACTTGTAATAAGTGGATTTATTGCTTTCAAATATCAATGCTAACTTAACAGTATAATGATCTGAAAAACATTTGGGAATTTAAAGGATCTTTCGGGATTCTGTTAAATTTTATCCCACTATCACAACTGCATTGATATAATGTTTAGCCTGAGACTATAATATCACTCTGTGCTCCATCTGAAGAAGTGGTTTTAATCCACAAAAGCTCATGCTACAAGAAACATGCATCAGACTCAAAAGTACACACACAATCCTTTTTTCCTCCCCTGCCTTTCTCCTTTGTACACTAAAACACTTAGCAGTTAATGGTCTCAGAGTTGCATTCAGACATTCTGGACAAAACCAGCAATATGCTGAAGACTGACTTCTTTAAATCAATGCTCCCTAAAGAACCTGCTAATTGATCACCAACACCAAGATCCAAAGTTTACTTTGATTTTAATACAATAAGGCAGACACTACATGGAAGTCAACATTTCAGTCCCTCTATATCTGTTCACATTCTACAAGGCACACATCTCTCTTGATATAGCTTGTGCTGCTCTTGATTTCTGATATCTTGCTATTTAAATAGCATTGTAGTCCCAATGCAGGTATTCAGTCTCTTGACCTTTTCTTGGGGGACAGAGATATGCATGCAAGTCCCACCCCAAACACACATCTGCATATCTGGCTCTTTTTTGCCCAAGCAGACTGAACACTGCCGCAGATTTACTGCTCATAATGATCTTTACCGATATCATTTATCAGTTTTAGAAAGCTGGTATAAAGAAAAGTGTAATGGCATCAGCATGCCTAGTGCCAGGAACAATTGAAAGGTCCTCCCTCCATCCCAACTGCCAATGCCCTGGTCTTGGAGAGAGAGAAGAGGCAGGCACAGCTCCATCATGCCTATGCCCAGAAGCAGAATAAATGCCCTCCATTTATTTATTTATTTATTTATTTAGTACACTTGTATACCGCTAATATCTCAGCCTAAAACGGCGACTCATTGCGGTTTACAATATTAAAAACAACAATATTCCGATAAAAATATAAAACACATACATATACAATACACAGTATTGGGCCACCAATACAGACCAATGCATCTCTTAACTTAAATCATAATCCAATTTCGTTGTCTGTAATTACCAGTCCTTGATCAAAACTTCATCGCATCGGATTAGCCGAATGCTTGCTCAAACATCCATGTTTTCAGTTTTTTTCGAAATGCCATCAGCGAGGAGGCTGATCTTATCTCTATAGGGAGGGCATTCCAAAGCCGTGGGGCCACCACAGAAAAGGCCCTATCCCTCGTTCCCGCCAGCCGCACCTGTGAAGCAGGCGGGATGGAGAGAAGGGCCTCTCCCGAAGATCTTAGGGTCCTGGTGGGCTGATAGGCCGAGATACGTTCGGATAGGTATGTTGGGCCAGAACCGTTTAGGGCTTTAAAGGCCAATGCCAGCACTTTGAATTGGGTCCGGTAGCTAATCGGCAGCCAGTGGAGCTGGTACAGCAGAGGAGTTGTATGCTCCCTGCGCCCTGCTCCTGTTAGTACCATGGCTGCCGCCCGTTGGACTAGTTGGAGCTTCCGAGCCGTCTTCAAAGGCAACCCCACGTAGAGAGCGTTGCAGTAGTCAAGGCGGGATGTAACCAGAGCGTGGACTACCGTGGCCAAGTCAGACTTCCCAAGGTACGGTCGCAGTTGGCGCACGAGTCTTAACTGTGCGAATGCTCCCCTGGTCACCGCCGAAACCTGGGGCTCCAGGCTCAGCGATGAGTCCAGGATCACACCCAAACTGCGAACCTGTGTCTTCAGGGGGAGTGCGACCCCGTCTAACACAGGCTGTAACCCTATACCCTGTTCGGCCCTACGACTGACCAGGAGTACCTCTGTCTTGTCTGGATTCAATTTCAATTTGTTCGCCCCCATCCAGACCGTCACAGCGGCCAAGCACCGGTTCAGGACCTCGACAGCCTCCTTAGTAGCAGGTGGGAAGGAGTGACAGAGTTGGACATCATCTGCGTACAGATGACACCGCACCCCGAAACTCCGGATGATCTCGCCCAGCGGCTTCATGTAGATGTTAAACAACATGGGAGACAGTATTGAACCCTGAGGAACCCCACAATGCAAAGGTTGTGGGGTAGAACAGGAGTGCCCCAGTAACACCTTCTGAGACCGACCCTCGAGGAATGACTGGAGCCACTGCAAAGCAGTACCTCCGAGACCCATTCCTGCGAGGCGTCTCAGAAGGATACCGTGGTCGACGGTATCGAAGGCCGCTGAGAGGTCGAGTAGCACCAACAGGGACACACTCCCCCTGTCGAGCTCCCGACGGAGATCATCCACTAAGGCGACCAAGGCTGTCTCGGTACCATGCCCCGGCCTAAAGCCAGACTGTGCCGGATCCAGATAATCCGTGTCTACCAAGAATGCCTGGAGTTGTGCGGCCACCACACGTTCCATGACTTTGCCCAAAAAGGGGAGATTGGAAACAGGCCGATAGTTGACGAATTGAGTGGGGTCCAGTGATGGTTTCTTCAACAGCGGTTTTATCACAGCTTGCTTTAAGCTGGCTGGAAATATGCCTTCCTGAAGGGAGGCATTAACCACCACCTTAACCCACTCGGCCAATCCCCCTCTGGCCTCCTTCAGAAGCCAGGATGGGCAGGGGTCTAGGATGCATGTGGTAGCTCTCATTCCTCCAAGCACCTTGTCCACATCCTCGGTTTGAACTAATTGAAATGAATCCATCAAAATTGGACAAGCAGATGTTCGTGTTACATCCTCAGAGACTGCCGTTAATATGGTGTCCAGTCCAGAGCGGATCAAAGCGACTTTGTCTGCAAAAAACCGAGCAAAGGCTTCACAGCGAGCTGCCGAGTCATCAGGGCACCCATCCTGAATGGTGGGTTTTAACAGGCCTCTGACAACTCGGAACAGTTCAGCCGGACGGTTCTTTGCAGACGCAATAGTGGCCGCAAAGAAAAGCAAGCAGAGGGAGGTCTGACAACTTGGAACAGTTCAGCCGGACGGTTCTTTGCAGACGCAATAGTGGCCGCAAAGAAAGTTTTCTTTGCGGCTCTTATTGCCGCGGCGTATGACCTTAAAAAGGACACAAACCGTGTTCGATTTGACTCGCTCGGATCCGAACGCCACACGCCCTCTAGTTCCCTCTTCTTTCGCTTCAACGCTGCCAGCTCCTCAGTAAACCAAGGGGCTGGTTTAGTTCGGCTACTTGAGAGGGGACGTTCTGGAGCGATCGTGTCTATTGCCCTAGTCATCTCCCCATTCCAGAGAGCGACCAGGGCATCAACAGGATCACCAACCGAGGTGGCGGGAAATTCCCCAAGAGCCGTCAGGAATCCCTCCGGATCCATAAGCCTCCTGGGGCGGACCAACTTAATGGGTCCTCCACCTCTGCGGAGGTTAGGGGGTGCAGTAAGTCTAAAGCTGACCAGGTGGTGATCGGTCCATGGCAACGGAGAGATGGATAACTCCTCAACACCGCCACCTTCCTCCCATCCCTGGCAGAAAACCAAGTCCAATGTATGTCCAGCACTGTGGGTGGGGCCAGATACTTGTTGGGACAGCCCCATGGTCGCCATGGTAGACATGAAGTCCTGAGCCACTCCCGTTAGGGCAGCCTCGGCGTGGACATTGAAGTCCCCCAGCACAAGCAGCCGTTGGGACTCCAATGCCAGGTCCGAGACCACCCCCGCTAGCTCAGGTAGGGAGACTGTAGTGCAGCGAGGTGGACGGTACACTAACAGAATCCCTAATCTGTCCCGGTCACCCACCCTCAGGTGGACGCATTCAAAATTTGTTGACTGCGGGATGGGGGCCCTGGTCAGAAGAATGGAATCTCTATAGACTACTGCAACCCCGCCTCCCCGCCCTCCGGATCTCGGTTGGTGCTGCACGGAGAACCCGGGTGGACAAAGCTGGGTCAAATTTACACCTCCCGCTTCGTCCAGCCAGGTCTCCGTGATGCACGCCAGATCTGCCCGTTCATCCAGGATTAAATCCTGGATGAAAGTTGTTTTACCATTGACAGATCTGGCGTTCAACAGCACCACTTTCAATCCCGAGGGACCGCCAACCTGGTTACACCAACTTACCGTATCAGGAGACCGATTTGGAATTACTAATGTTGTTCCCCGTTCCCTAGGCCGAATCAAAGGTCTCCCTTTCCCGTATCTCCCCTTCCCCACCACGACTTCTATGGGGGCTTCCATCCATCCAGTTGCCACTGCCTAAGAGAGAAGAAGT